AGGATAGAAGATTACTAGGGATCATTAATCCCAGGGATTTGTCACAGGAATGAAGAACAAAAAAAAAAAAGCAAAGAAAAGAAAGTATCATCAGTTCACTCTCTTTGGGTTGGTTTATACATTGTTAACAGAGAAGGTAAATTGGACTTAACTTTGTTTGCCACTGAGTCCTTGTGAATTGTAATTGTAGCTTTTTACGTCACAGACTTGAACACAGCCATTTTATTTCGTTGACACTAATTGTGTCAGAGTTGGGCTCTGTTAAATATATGACAAAAACCATTAATATGATACGGAGTATAAACTATTACCAGTGTATAATTTTAATCAGTCTATAAGAAAATGAGAATTATTCGTTACAACTTACAAGGAAATATGTGCAAGTCAAAGCACATAATTTTAATTCAGAGGGTTTGCATGTCATTGGTGGTTTCACGTCTTTCTTCAAAAATCATACGGAGCAACTAAATAAACACAGAATATGTGCTAAAATTCATCTAAGTTTGGTGATTTGGTCATAATTTACCAGTCATAGTAAGAAATTATCCGAAATAGGACTAAAAACGTTTGTATATTTCAAAATAAGACTATCATGTTTTTATTCCAAAATAGGTCTAATTACTGTCATGTTTTGATAGTATGAGACTTTCAAATAGTGCTGGACTCGGGCCGGGCGGCCCGAACCGGAACCGGCCCGGCCCGGTTACTGTGTGAACCGGCCCGGCCCGGTGGCCCGGTCTACCGGCGGTTCGGGCCGAACCGGCCCGGTGGATACCGGTTCCGGGCCCGGGCCCTCTATTTGGTGAACCGGCCCGGCCGGTTCGGGCCCGGTCCGGGCCGGAATAATTTTTTTTTTAATTTTTTTTTGAAATTTTTTTAATTTTTGGGTTGGATTAGGTATTTTGGGCCATTTGAGGTGGTTTGGGGTTGAGGGGGAGGGGTAGGGGGTTAAATAAGAGAAGCCAAAAAATCAAAAAAAAAAAAAATGGGGCGGGTGAACCGGCCCGGAACCGGCCCGGTCTGGCCCGGAACCGGCCCGGAACCGGTCACCTGCCGGTTCGGGCCCGGGCCCTCCTTTTGGTGAACCGAGGCCCGGCCGGTTCAAGGCCCGAACCGGGCCCAGCCCGAACCGAGTCCAGCACTACTTTCAAATGTAGCAGTAATTACTCCTATTTTGGGAATAAAAATATGGTAGTCTTATTTTGAAATTTTCAAATTATTACTCCTATTATGGGATAAATATTAATGGAAGGTTTAAAAGCTAAGCTTTTAAACACAATTTGAGCTAGTAGTTATGGCATAACCTTAAGGAGGCAGTGGGTTTTAAAACATGAAAATCGTTGTTTACTGCTGAACACACGTATATTATTCTACTAGTAAACTGTCATGATTCCTAAATGAGAAGTTGGTTTTTAAGTTACAAGGCAAGCGTCTCCCAGGAAGCAACTTAAGTCTTTGAACGACAGCATAGCAAATTCAAATATGCCAAACACGTGCACTGGTTTTGTTATTTCGATTATTCACAATGTTCTGAACTCCAAAGAACACATGTTGTTCAGTTTTAACGTTTTATGATAAAGAATGAAGAGTCCAAGTTGGAGCACAGCCCGGTGTGGGGTTTATCGGAATGCACATGTATATTGGTCCTCCTTGCGCATAAAACTAGAGTGCTTCTTAGAATGTAAATTTCTGCAATTCTGCACAATCATTTAGGTTTCATGATTAACTGCATCCATAAAATAAAACCTTGACGCCTTGACGGCAATTGAATCTTAAAATATGAGGCTTGATGCTCAAGTCGATGAACATGCAAGGTTTAAGTCATATCCACGTGCATAGGTAAACTACATAGCTAAAGCATAAGTGGAACAAACACGAACCGCGCCAAGCTAACCCGAGAGTAATATTGTAAGGATTCTCAGCAGGAGATTTAACATACGATAGTTATGTTGAGGATGATGGAATTGTACAATATGGGACATAATATTTGTCCATCAACACATGTATATAGTTCCATCTGAAAGGCTGTATGTATGTGTATATTTAGTCAACCAACCCATTACTGGTAATAACACCTAACCATTACCGGTAGGTAGCATAATGATGTCCATCCCTATATATAGGGATGAACCGGCCCGGGAGTCTACCGGTTCCGGTTCAATTTTTGTGTGTGTGTGTGTTTTCTTATTTATTTCACCCCCACCCCCCACCCCCCAAACCCCTCGGAAACACCAAGTCCACCTAAACCCAGCCCAAACCCAGAAAAACAAAAAGAAGAGGCCCGAACCGGCCGGGCCGGGCCGCCTTTTTCAGGACCCGGAACCGGTTACCCCCTCGGGCCAGGCCTAGGCCCGGAACAGGAACCGGTTTCCCGGGAAGGGCTGGGTACAAACAGTACCGGTCCACCCCTAGCTATATACGCGGGCATGTGCACAAGCAGGCATATGAGATGAATTGTCTTTTCATATGATCAATCAATCTTCTCATAAATTACTTGTTCAAATGCTATACATTTAATCTGTGAGAAAATCATAGATAGCAGTCGTCATTTTTTATTTGAATGAAATCAAATTAGAAACGGGTGGATAATTGCTACCCATACTATATAATTTAGAGGTAATAGTTCGTAAGATGAAGGCAGGAGATGAATGTGCTTTATTCGATGTATCATGTATGTATACGAACTACAGTTTACAACCTCCCAATAGTATTGGCCTAATATACCTAATCTAATATCAAAAACATTTAAATCAAACATAACCATTAAGATGCATATCAATCATATCAAATAAGGCTAGTTGTCTCTTAGAAATTATAACTCTCTTAGATATCAACAACATTTAAATCTAACATAAGTACATAACCATTAGGGTATCTTTGGTTCAAGGAATGTCACATTATCATGAGAATGTCAGATTGCTGGGTATGTTAGATTGATGGGAATGTATTTAATTCATTCCCATTTGTGTTTGGTTAACATCAAGGGGATGTGTCATAATTTATTTGGTTGAAAGATATCTTATATTGCAGATATGATGAATTACTTTTATGCCCTTTAAATATTTTCTCTTAACGCAATAAATCTATTACAACATACATCTAAAGTGATTAAAATTAAAGAAAAATGAAATATCTTAATAATAAATAAAATCAAACCTAATTGAATTATTTCTAAGTAAAATATGTTTAAATGTAAAAAGGTTTAGATCCAATACAGAAATGAAAACAAACGTTGTTCAAATAGTAATATAAATATATTTATTATCATCTCAAAAAAATTTAAAAAATGATCAAGTTATTCGTAAAACTTGTTTTCAGAATAATGAAAAAATGACCAATTTCGCTATTAAATTTAGAAATGCACTCATCAAAACTTAAATAATCTATAACTCTTACTCCCTCAGTTCCACTTAAAGGTTCCCACACGGTATACGATGTTTGATTGGCCATAAAGTTAACCGATCTCTGTCATTAATAGGATTATTTTAGTAAATAAAATTTACATATTCAAAAACTAAATTAAAAGTTTTATAACACCTAATCAAGAAAAATTAAATTTGATAAAAGTTGGATATATAAGTAAAAGATTACGAACAATGCATGTTGATAAGAGAATAGTGTACGTGAAACTTTAAATGGGACAGAGTAGTGGTGGACCCGGGCCGGGTGGGGCTTTGGGTTTTAAGGTGTAGGCCCGGAACCGGCCCGGGTATCCACCGGGTCTGGTTCGGGCCGAGCCTCGGGCCTGTTTTTTTTTGCTTTCCTAACTACCCCCCTGACCCCCCCTCCCCCAAACCCTCCCCAAAACACCCAGCCCCACCCGGGGGGAACCCAAAAAAATTGGAAAAACAAATTGGCCCGAACCGGGCCCGACCGGGCCGGGTCACCTTTTCTTCAGCCCGAGCCCGCCCCGCTAAACCCTACGGTCTGGGTCAAAAGACCGGTTTGGGACCCGAAGCACCGGGCCGGGTGGCCCGAACCGGGTCCATCACTAGGATGGAGGGAGTATAACATAAATACCTTTAAATTTAAAAGTTTAGAAAAAATTATGCAAATAACAAGAATATATAGGAGGTAAGGGTCAGATTGGTACTCGAACTTGCATAGGAGGCTCTGTCCGGCCGTCGCCATTTGGGGCGATTCCCGGTGGATTTTTTTGACAAAATTTTTTGAGCATCTTATTCATTACGTCTAGTTTACTCATACCAAATTAGAGTTAAGAATTCAACCGGGAAGGTATTCAAATGAATTCTTGAAGATAACTGCGCAGTTATCTTCAAGAATTCATTTGAATACCTTCTCGATTGAAGTTTTAGTTGAAATTTTGTATGAGTAAACTAGACTTAATGAATAAGATGTTAAAAAAAAATCATCAAAAAATTCCACCGGGAACCGCCTCAAATGGCAACGGCCGGACAGTAAGGACTTATTTGACCCTTTTTATGCAACTTCGAGTACCAACCTGACCCTTACCTCGAATATATAGACATTCAAATATAATTAATACTCCGTTCGTCACACCTAAAAGGATGTTACACAATTTAAAATGTTCGACTAACCATGAAACTAATTGATCCCCACCAATTATAAGATTATTTCTAGTAAATAAAATTTACATATTTAGAGATTAAAAGTTTTATAAAGTCACAAAGATTTGATAACAGTTGAATATAGAAAGAAATTAAATGAAAAGAGATGATTAATTGAAGGTATTTTCGGAAGGAAATTAGATCACCCCAAGAATGTGAGATAACCTGAGGCATGGATGGGTTTAACATTCCCCTCCATATTACATTCCCGGGAATATAACTTTCCCGATTCTTTTTCAAATTTTTGTGCCCAATAGTACCTCATAGTTGTCTCTTATAAGTTATAACTCTCTTCGATATTATTCAAACATAGACATTGTTTCAAATTTTTCTAAACCTAAGATGAATTAAGTTCAATATTTTTTGGGGAATAAAAACTTAATTAAGCTTAATTGGGTTCAAACTGTTAACTTTCTTTAATAGGATAGCACAGGAAACTGGAAGCAGTTTCAGGCAGCTAGCTGTAGTTGACAATTGATAAACCGTAATGAAACATAATCATATCAATAATCATAGTTGAGTTTTGATCGCATTACATCACGTTCCATTACGGTTCAGCAAATACTGAACGGACACAAAAAACACTTGGAATATGAGCTATGAGGTGTTGTGCTTAAACCATCAATATGAAAAATTTATAACACAAGCTGTGTATAGTGAATTTTACAATCTCTTTCCAAAAGAATTTAAAAATAACAAAAGTTCCTTCCATGTGAGAAGAATGGAGGAAAACCAATGTTAATTATTACTACTCCCTGTTTGGCTTGGCAGACGTGGTGGTTGTAGGCGCATATTCCTCCATTTTCACCACGCAAATTTGATGGCAAAATCCAGAGGTGCAGTTGCAGGGCAAGTGAGATGCGTTTCTAGCATTCGAAACTTTACACCTTCCCAGCGCAATGCAAAATTAATAGTAGAATTTATACATTTGATACTTTTTTCACCACATCAATCCTTCCTACTGCGTTTCTTGGCTTCGCTGTAGAGAATAACACCAAAAACTGTGAGAGTATAGCCGAGCATTCCTGTGACTGATACTGGGTTTCTGAATATTAATATTGACACGACGACAGCAACAGCTCCTTTAGCATTCCCCAGAACCTGTAAGAACCCATCATCAAACCTTCATGAGCACTAGAGTGGTATTGTTTGGAACGCAGAAAATGTAAAAGAAAAAACTATAATGAATGTTGATTTTCCTGTGTATGGTTTTATGTACGGAGTATATAAGTTTATAATATAATGATATATGATTAATATTTTCAAAAAAAAAACATTCATGTGCGTTAAAATATCTTAGTTATTACGTCATAGAAAAATGATAAAAAAAAGTGAGCAACTTCAATTATAATTTCCTCTTTTATGTTTCCTAGCATTTTATGAATTCCAAACAAACATGGAAACAGTAACACGCACCATTTAATAAGGAAGAAAAACAATGAAATGACTTGAAAATACACACAATCATTTTTAGGCACAGGGAGCAAATATTTCAACAGGAAGACTAGAGGCATTGTGTTGTGTGTATGCTGAATAAACTGGAATTCCCTACATAAGGAAGTTGCTAAGGTTTTATGAACACAATGTTGCCTTATAAATTGGGCACCTCGGAAGCTTTAGCATACTGTTCACACTGAATAGTATGGGTTACTGATTGTATTTTTCAGACTTCACTTCTTTTACTGCAGGGCCTGATTTAGTTGATGGGCTGGAAAAGATGTTGGGTCTTTTATACTGACACTTTGGCTAGGGAGTTGGTCTAGGCAGTAGGCAAATGGGTGGAGGGATTTCATTTCGAATCTCTCTTGCAATGATTTCTAACACCCCCATGCCTTTCATTTGATCTTATTCTTCCTTTGGAGGTTGTAATTTCCTCGACTGCTGCTTTGAATGACTATGTGGAGAAGCCTGGGCCTACTGAGCTCTCAGTAGGTCTATTCCCATGGACAAAGGCTATCGGGACTTGAGAAAACCGCAGTATTTTGATATGAAAGGAGCTTGATAAATAATATTTTGATCATGACAGCTTTTTGGTTGAACCTTCTTGTACCTAGGTTCACTTCCCCTTAGTTTCTTGCCTATTGTAACCTTGGGAAGAATTCCTTCTTGGAGAGGGTTGACTTTAGACCTCGGTATAATGTCTCACAACCTCTGTATCACTACTTCTAAATCTAATTTGGTACAGTCACCCTAACCTTTACCCAGCGAATTTGGTGGTTGCTTTCTTGGTTTAAAAAAGATCTACCATATCAATCAAATGAAAACCATAACCAAAGGTATCATCACTCACAGCATATTGTCATTTTGTCATGAAGCAGAACATATAAATGGGAGGATAATAGTGTGATGTGCTTATTTATCATATTGGAGAAGGGAGATTGAGTTAAAGAATAGCCCATCATTAGATCCAAAGATCAAGAAATTGTGAAAATAAGATAGCAGAAAGAAGAAACCAAGCTTTTGATCCTCTAATATGGACATTATATTCACAGGGAATATTTGGCTCCTGGGAAATTCTAGGAAAAGGAAAAATGCCATGCTTTTTTTATGCTTGGTTTTAACATGGAAAATGAAAGGGAGAGCAAAATATGATCTGCCACGCTTGAAATTTTACTTATACTTGGATTTTTTAGTCTTAGTATAACATGCATAAATAAGTAAAAATGAATATCACTGAATATAGAAAATAAATCAATTGAGTTTTAGTCTATCTTTTGATTTTAATAGCATTTTATTTTCATCTATTTTTGATCCCTTTTTTACCAAATATTTCCCCCAAAAGGTCTGACATTCAAAATGTTTGCAAGTTAACTAGTACCATAAAATGTCTTGAATAGATGTATCATAGATATATCTTTGTTTCAGAAAATCAAGAAACAATACCTGTAGGGTCAGCGCACTGGTGTGCTTTGTAACCAAAAAATTGGTCAGATTTACAAAATATGCAAGTGCAGAGTTGAATAGGAGTAACCATATGATTGTGAAATCCTCCCTTGCAAGTGCTAAGGTGATACCAACAACGTTTTCCTCCATGATTAGTGTTGCAGGCAATAGAAGCACAACAGCAATAGGAGCCATATAAAGTAAAAGATTCATGGAGTTCAGCTTCTCCCTTGAACAAATGAAAAACTAAAGCCTCAGGTCTTTACATCCAAAAATGTTGAGAAAAACAAAAATGTACATTACTGTTGGGTAACAACTATTACCCTTCAGAAGAAAGCAAAAGCCCTTGAAGCACTGACTTAAGTGCCCTAGCAGCTGTAGCCCCAATGCACATTATGAATCCAAATAAATGGAAACTGGGCTCTCCCTGGAATAATGGAATCATAAAAAGAAACAGAGAATTTAGCTAAATTGAAAAGGGCCACATGCTAAATATAGTAAATGCAAAGACAGGGAATAAACTGCTTGGAAAAATGAGCATAGCACAGATACTATATATAAGTTCTGGTAAGGTCAAGCTGATGAATGAGCAGAGGAAAAGACAAACAAATCAAAGACGATCCTATAGGAAAGTTTACACAGTGCAGGATACTATGATACATACAAGGCTGAAAATGCTTGCAACAATATATTAGCTGAAGGAAAGTGCAGCTGATCAAATAGCAGCAGTTTAGTTTTAATAAAAGCTATAAGCAATGCTGCCAAAAGACTTTTGCTAACATATGTATAGGAAATGCTGAAAATCCATAAATAAGAATTAAATAAAAAAGAAGCAATTCTACAAAGATTACGCAAAAGTTTAAATATGGGATGCAATAAGAAACAAGGAAAACGTACCCCACTGGCAATGACCACGCCAGTGACAACTGGGATAAGAGTGACGTATGTCAACCAAGCCTCTCTTTTCAGGGTTATGAGATAGGCAAAGACGGCGGTGAAGAACGGGGTGGTGGCACCAATCGCCTGGTTGAAGGAGACGGGCAGGTATCGGAGAGAGATGTTGCCGCTGACAACGGAAGCGCAAAAGACGAGGCTCAAAGCGGAGATCTTCATGAACTGAACCCTAGATCTTATGGTCTGCATAGGAACCATCTTCATCCAGGCAATGGCGATGTAGCTGAGCAGGGAGCAAGCCGTCATGTGACACATGGTGAGAAAGATCGGGTATTTGAATCCGTAATTGCTGAGCAAGAACTTGTTGAGCAGTAAGACCCCAATGTTGGAGAAGTACCACGCCGCCACGAGCCCAATCGTGAAGAAGCGGCCCGTCGTCTTCATTGCCGACATTTGCCGATCTGATCCCAGGAACAACAAATATCAGAAATGGATCTGCAAGCTGGGCTCGAAGAAGGCGCGAACAAGGGGAGGAAATCTAGAGGGAAGAACAAAGGCGTCAACCTTAAACGGATCTGGTTCAACTTTCATAACCAAAACAAAACACAATTCAGAGACAACTAATTAATAATACCTTTTGCTAAATCTGCCAATACATAATAAATATATTTATGCAGAAGCGAGCGAGAATGAGGAGATGAAGTGGTGGTGGTGGTGCTGGCGACAGGGGAGGAGGGCGCGACCGACGGAGAAATAGCAGACGCGTCAATGAAGCGCTAGTCGAATTATGCCTACAGCTTCCATATATAATTGGCCTTTTTATTCCAATATTACTAAAAATAGGATAAAAGATAAAAAAGTGATATGTTTTTAAAAATTCTAAAAATGTGATCAACATTACAATTAACCCTGTAGTGTAAAGTGACTCCGAGCAAAGTGACTCCGCCCAAAGTGACCCCACCGATCACAGTGACTGCCCCACCGATCACAGTGACTGCCCCGCCGCCACAGTGACTCCGGCCACAGTGTCTCCGGCCAAAGTGACTCCGGCCATAGTGACAACCGATTCTGGCCACAATGACACCCCATTCCGGCCACAGTGACTGCTGGCCCACCAACCACAGTTACTCAGCCATAGTGACACGCAAAACGGACGCAAACCGCCACCGCCACCCCCCGGCCACCGCCTTAGCCTGACTCAACTCCCCATCCCCCATCCCCAGCCCGCCGCCAACTCCCCAGCCCCCTCTCAGCCCTCAGCTACCTCCAGAGTCACCGCACACCACCATCACTGCCCCACCCCCTCACGACAGTCACTGCACCACCCCCGCCCCAACCACCACCTCAAGGTTTTTACCCCCTGTACAACTCCATGGATGTCGTTGAATGCCCCGTTCCTGCACCCTCCCCACTGCAGCTCCTTGTGACAGTCTCGGCCACCACTCCGGCCAGCCACCGAACCCCAGGTCCAGCACACCCCAGCCCCAGTCCTGCACAATCATTGCACCATCCCCAGTCCTCTCCTCTCCCTTTCCCTGACACAACACCCACAACCTCTGACTGCCCCCCCTGCTCCCCTATTCCATCCTCAGCTCCAAACCCCTACAGTCGCCCCCTCCTATCCATATCCCCTCCCAGCCTCCCAGATCCCATCCCCTGCCTTCATGGCATCCCAAAACCTAACCGTCATCTAGTCATACAGTCGTTGAACGCAAAGAACAAAGAGGAAAATAGGGAGGACGAAGACAATGAAGAACGAATCGAAGGACAGAAACGAAACGATTTGAAATCAAAACGAATCGAATGAAAAGCAGACCAGATCTGTTCTTCCAGCTTCTGGAATGTAAAGCAAGGTTGCGAACAAGCTCTCGACGACTCTGGCCTGGTGGAGATGGCGGCGTTGCAGGGGCAGGCGATAGAGATGTGGATTCCGAGTTCGCTGGATGCTTCGTCTCTGGTTCAATCGATGAGACGATGAGCTTCGATTGGGAGCGAAGAAGATGGACGACTTGCGATGGGGGAAGATGGGGCGACGGAAATATGCAGATGATTACGGCTGGGGTTTTTTAAAATGTCATATTTTTGGAAAAATGAAAAGTTGTCATATTTTTTGAAATGAAAACTCCGGTAGTAATATAGAGGCAATTTTTTCTATATAATTTCGCACTAAATTGTACAGATAGCTTTTTCCTAAAACAAAAAATTATGTATAATTCATAAGAAAGATTTATTTATTTAAAATGTAATTAAGGTTACCGTATACTCTGTATAGGAGTATATTTTAATACGGAGTAGTTATTATGATGTAAATTGTAAACACAATAAGATTATTAAGTCATATATTTTGAGTATTTTTATTTTGATCTTATATTAAGAATTAAGGAATGTATTTCTTTAGAGGTATTCCACATACATGAACAAATCAACAACAAGTTGTGTACTTCCTCATCAAATCAAGGAGTTCTCCACTAATGTGCAGGGGCGGAGCCAGAAAAATTATTCAGTGGGGTCAAAATCAAATTTACATAAGTGAGCAACTCCGACGGCGATTTTCAGCAACAAGCCATTGGAAATGACAGAGGCGGTGACTTTTAGATCCGTGGTGATGATAGACGCAGCAGGGGCGGCTAGATTGTCCAATCAGGGGCAGTGAAGGCTGAATTTTCGGATCAAATTTCATATCTACGGCGGCCGCTAGGGCTGGATACGGACGTCGGTGGGGTATCCGGTTGGGCTGGTGGACGATTGGAACGGGGCTAGGTTGGTCGGGGATTGGAGGGGGGCTGCCCAGGGCTTGTGGGGGATGGTTGGAAGTGACGGCAAAGACACAGTGGTCGCCGGAGATGGGGGGTGCGGTGGTTGGACTGGAGTCGCCGGATTTGATGGATGGTGATGGGGCAGGGGGTTGGGTGAGGCAGGGGCGGGGTTGGGTTGAGTGGTTGGGCAGGGGGCAGGGCTGGGGTGGTGGACTGGTGGGGCAGGGGTGATGCAATTCCGGGGGCGTGGTAGGGGCAGGGCCTGTGGAGGATGGCAGCGGTGGTCGACAGCAGCGATGGTCGCCGTCGGTGGTGGTCGCCGGTAATGGCCTAGGTGATAGTTGGCGGCGCTCATTTTTAAGCGGGCCATTGTAAATGCTCGTACCGGATAACTGGTCAAATTGGGTAATTGTAACTGACGGATCGGGTAATTGTAACTGGAATGATAAGGTAACTGTAAATGGATGGGTCGGGTAATTGTAACTAGAGGGGTCATGCAAATGTAATTGGACGGGTCGTGTAACTGTAACTGTAACTGGGCGAGTCAGATAACTGTAACTGGGCAGGTCTGTAACTGTAACTGGATGGGCCGGACGGGGTAACTGTAACTGGACGGATCAGGTAATTGTAATTGGATGAGCCAGGTGGTCACTGCTCGGGTGGTAAATGGGCTGTTGTAACAGAATGATTTTTAATTTTTGGTCACTGTCGGGTTTTGGACTTTTGGTCACTAACGGATTTTTGGTCACTGACGGATTTTGGTCATTAATGGATTTTGGTCACTGGTGGATTTTGTAACTATGTCATTGGTAACTATAACATTGGTCACTGCACATTTGGTCACTGTGACGGGTTACTGTAGCAGGCCAGTGGGTTTGGGCTTAATAAGGGTGTAATAGTCCCTTAAGTATTATTTAGTCTTATTTTTGGAACTTAAAAGAAAAGTATCTTTTTTTGTCCAAATGCTTTTAATTAGTATTATTTGAGGAAAAACCCCAAAAATTAATGCAAGGGGAAATCGTACTTGGAGTTCATCATTTATTTTTCGTATTGAAATGTTATTCCCATCTTTCAATTTCTGTAAATAAAATTGCTTAAAATTTAAGTGTTGTAAACATTGCCTCCGCCCACCGTTCTAAAGAACGGTCTAGGCGGCCGAGTAGTCCTCGCCTAGCGATAGGCGATGGCCGAGCGTCCCGATTTTAGTCTAGGCGCTCCAACTAATTGATTTAGCACCTAGGTGAATTAGTCGGTCGCCTAGGGCATCTAGTATCCCGCCCAAGGCGCCTAATTGGTTGCCTAGGCGTCTAGATTCGTCAAACGTTTTAGTTTGTTTTTTTTATCTTAGTATTCTAAGATATATATATATATATATATATATATATATATATATATATATATATATATATATCTTTAACTTTAACAACACTTATGAAAAAACTACTAGTTGTAGATTAAGATAAAAACTATGCATGTATTATATAAATTATACATGTGAACCTTTATATATGTAATAATTTTCATTACATATATGAAATTAAGAGCCCGCTTGATAATAGTGAAATTGGCTGAATTGGCTGATTTTGCTGAAATTTATGAAGTTTTAGTTGAAGTGACTGTATTTGCTGATTCTGGTGATTTATGAATTCAGCGCGCGAAATAAAAAATTACATGTTTGATTAAAAAGTTGTCTAATAAACTTGATAAAGCGAAAAACCAAGTCACCAAGCGAGATTTAAGTGAGTAGGTATAATATATTATTAAATGTGACAACTCTATCATTCATGCATGCAACATTACTCATCATATTTTGATATTTATGCAGAAATATTCTCAAAACTATATTTTCTATGTCTCCTACTTGTCCCCGCCAAGACGCCTAGGCACTGGACTGACGTTCTACTAGCGTCTAACGCCTAAACATTGCATCCGCTTAAAAATGAACAAACTTCGATCCTACACTATTAACGATTGAGGTTATATTTATAATGTTGCAAATTGAAGATAATTTTTGCAGGATGTTGCATAATAAGAGGATAAAAATAAAAAACAGACGGATTTTCGCTATATTATTAATAGAAATTGTCGCGTCCAAGAATAAAACATGGGTCAAATTTAAATACCAGTGTGTACTTTTTTTTTTCTTTGAGCAACTTTCTAGCTCCTATTACATAGCATACACCCGTTCAAAAAAAAATTACAAAACATACATATAAATCATTCCATATTTGTCCTTTAAGGATCTTAGATACATTTATGATTTATCCTCTTTTTTCTTCATCCCTTTGTGTACCTTTTTTTGCCTTTTGTCATTGTCTTCACTACATTTTTCTTCTTTCATAAATTAAAGGTCTCTAGTAAAACTTGCCGAAAAAAGTCTCAGTAAAACTTAAAGAGAACTCATAAAAAATCATTACTTGAATTTCGCTAAACACCTACCAACCATCGGATATCACCTTTGAAAGAATGTAGCATACCCATTGGAGAATATCATAAAAATCCCAGAAATATATCACCAGTAGAATACTAATAAAAGTCGTTCATAGAAGAAAAAAATACTAGACACCATTATAAAGAAGTCTCAATTAGTTCTCATGACATTTGGAGTCAAATGGTAAATAAGTGAGTTGCTGTACATCTCTAATGAGCTCTAGTTAATATTTTTGTAATTTATCATCTAAAATATTTAAATTAGAATTATCAGAACTGCCCAATTTAAGACATTTTCTCAAATATTAACTACTGTGTCATTTTATTTTTAGAGTAAAAGATTTATTATCAGTAATATTTTTCTACTGCGTACAAATTTAAATCACAAAACAGTATACTCTTATTTTAGGTGCTAATCATACTAACTAAATTTAGGAAAACTTTGACATGGCATCGGCGAAATCGTTTCTCCTAGCCTCCTAGGGCAGCCGCCTCTAGGCTTTTTTTCCGAATTCGGTCATATTAATCGAAGTTCGGCTGTTCTTGTTCGCATATCTGGCCGCGGAGCAGTGGTCTGCTTTTGGCTAAGGTAGAGCGATCACGAGTTTTTCTCTCTAGGGCTTTGACTATGTCGGCCGCTGGAGCCTTTTTCCGATTTCGACTTTATCGAAGATCGGCTTTGTTATCCCTTGGTCGCTGGTGCTCGACTGGAGTCCAGGTCAGACGCGGAGGGCGGAGATCGGTGGTGGAGGGCAGATTTGTTGTCATGGCTCGAGGAGATCGGCTGTGGTCAAGGTTCGAGGATTCAGCGTTGCTGTCGTCGTTGGAGAAGATCGGCGCCGCCTGTCCGCTTACTCTGGTCGCACGGAGCAGGGATGAGTTTGGTTATGCAGGGACGGATGATTGATGCATGGTCTTTGGCAGCCAAAGGTCATGGAGGATCAATTAGCATGGTACCAGTGGTACGACCTCCTCCTGAACCACCACCATGGGATGCACGAGGTGCTAGAGTTCGTGAACGTTTTTCTTGTAGTTTTTATCTGTTTGTTATTTATTTTCTTGCGTCCATTTTTGTTGTTGGGTTTGACAGTTTGTTTGAGTTTTTTGCCTCTCTTTATGTCATTGGGTATGGTTGGATCTATGGGAATAGTTTTGGCTGTGTCAAGCCCACTACATGGTTAGCGATTCGTGTTGCTCTCTCAGGGGTGACCGTCTCAAAGTCTCACCATAGGGTTACAGTCGTAGTTGTTGGGGTTTCAGTTGGTGTCTGTTTTATTTTCCCTTTGCTTGATGTAATGATCCTCATGAATCTTTTGATATGAATAGAGGCATGTTTTGATGATAAAAAAAAACTAAATTTAGAATCAGTTTTTTAACAAGACGGCTTAAATTGATAATAAAACATTCAGTAAGGGGAACAGAAGAAAAGGGGAATATTTCTAACCACCGACCCTCTAACCAGACTGAGAACCAATCACCCTGTAAGGAGCAATATGATTCGATGATCCTGTAGTGGGTCTAAATGAGCCTAACGTGGCCAGAGCAAACCCCTCATCACCCTAGCAGCCTAGACTAAATTTGTTCCCGGCCCAATTATTTTCTTAAAACACCATTTGATCAAAAGTATTATATTCCTACAACAAAAATAATTTTTACATGTATATAATGTTGGGAAAAGTACGGAAAAGGTACTTGTGGTTGGACCCGTTTTCAAATAGGGTCATGTGTTTCATTCTTTATCAAAGTGGTCCATGTGTTTGAATTCCGTTGGCACAAGAGGGTCACACCGTTAAAAACGTCTGAAAAAGACCGTTAAAAGTAACTCTGATTTTCAAAAGTGCCCGAAAAATTAAAAGAAAAATACCGAAAGGCGCGCCTCGTCAAGATGACCTCCAAACCACCTTCGCCTTTGGATTTTTCAGACCTGTTTGAAGTATTTTTTAAAACAGATTTCGCTAATATCATTTTTCCGGTAGACTTTCAGGTGACAAGGGTGGCTAAAAAAAAAGAAAGATGGCCTACCGGTCGTCTTATTGAGGTGCACCTTCCCGTATTTTTCTTTTAATTTTTCAGGCACTTTTGAAAATCAGAGTTACTTTTAACGGTCTTTTTCAGACGTTTTTAACGGTGTGACCCTCTTGTGATAACGGAATTCAAACACATGAACCACTTTGATAAAGAATGTAACACATGACCCTATCTGAAAACGGGCTCAACCACAAATATCTTTTCCGTACTTTTCCCTATAATGTTTTAAGAATGTATATCGGTAATTCGGTATATGACCATTTTTAGAGATTAAAATGCCCATTATCTCTTCATTTATACATTAACTATTTTATTATTGATAATTTTACTACAAAAAGCATAACATTTAATGATTACATTAGTTCTTTCTGTTGTCAAAATACTATATAAAATTATTAGGAGAGAAGTTAAAATTCATAGGAAATGATCAAAAATTTAAAAATAAATGAAAGAAAATACCTAGGTGCCCTAGTCGCCCATGTAGGTGGGTTAGGCGCTAGGCGACCAGTCATCGCCCAACTAGCGTTTAGTGACTTTTAAAACATTGTGTTTAATTAATGCCCCCAATAACATTTTTTCCTGGATCTGCCATTGTTCGGTACCGGTTTGGTTTTTATGCCTACCCATAATTGCACATAATCCTACATTACCGTCATCTGCCCCGCCCTACAATCGTCAACCGTCGTAGCCAGCTCCCAGTCCTACCCTCCCCAATCCCAAAACCCCATCCACAGCCCCCAGCCCCTCTCAACTCCTCTCCCCAATTTCCCCAATCCCATTCTGCGCTCTGCGCGGTCAAGCCCTAACTGCCGCCGCGGCAGTGACTGCTACACCGTCGGTATTCCTGCCCCTGGCACTGCCCTTGCCCCAAATCCCTATCCCCAATTAAGTGAGCTATATAATGGTGCACTGATACTTCACCCCGATGTCGTATCCGCGTATCCAATATGTATTCGATACCGATACTCACCGATACACATCCTGTAAGTATTTGGTCCGTATCCGTAATTTAATAAAAGTATTGGACTTATTTTTAAAAATATAAATACTTCTGATACCCGTATATGTGAACTGATACACGTATCTAACCCTATAACCCCGATTTCATACACGCCATGACGAAAATTTAGTAGCCGCCCAAGCCACCACAAGATGCGGAACAATAATAAAGATGATTTTGGCAGTATGGATATTGGGCTAAAGGGTCAAATAGGCCCCTGTACCGGTCGTGTTAGCTCAACTCAGTCACTGAACTAAAAAAAGGTTCAATTCACACACCCGAACCGACAAGAAATGGTTCAAATTTCATTTTTTACGTGTGAACAACCGGTCATTTTTTAATTTTTTATTGTTTCTGTTTTTTATTTTCGATGTATTGCAATTTTGACACTTTTTAATGGTTTAGGGGTGCGAATTGGACCTTTTTTACCGGTTGTTGAACCTTAAAAAAATGAAATTTGAACCCCTTTTTTGCCGGTTTGGGGTGCGAATTGGACTTTTTTTGGTTCAGGGACTGAATTGAGCTTACACGATCGGGAAAAGGGCCTATTTGACCCTTTAGCCAACATATTGGAATACTATAATTTGCCAATTTGTCGTTTGATGAGTTTTAATTGAAATCAGTCTTGTTAAATGACGTAGATGTAAATGCAAATAGAAAACCAAAAACATTATTTGAATTTAAATCAAAATATCAACACTTTAGCTTTTTTAAGTCTAATCTTTGAAATTTTATTATAATTGTTAATTTTTAGTACTATTATTATTTTATTTATGAATCTCTGAATTATATATATTTGTAAATTATACCCTATATTGTTATTTATCAATATACCCCGCACCCGTATTCTATAATTTTTGAAGTTATCGTATCGTTGTACTCATATTCGTGTGTTAGCGTATCGGCGTGTCCGTATCCGTGCACCATAGTAAGTGAGAAAATCTAGGCATCACAATCTCGGGCGTTGCTGCAACCCTGAGCGCTCTACCAGCCCATCTGATCTTTCCTTGCCCTTTGAGATTTGAGAAGAGCGATCATCGATCTCCAATTGATCTCGTCACTCACCATGTCGTCACTCGCCGTCGCTGGCCACCCATTGTTGTCGCCCGCCGCATGCGCCAATCGCTCATGTCACCTATGGATTTGAAGGATTTCGATCACCATCCACATAGAAGGAGAAGAAGAGAAAGAAGAAAGGAGAAGAATAACAACTCTATGGAGTTGGAGTTGGTGGCGTGGATGCAACGGAGGCAAAGGTGGAGCGCCGCCTGCCTGGAGATTCGCATAGATTAGTCATATGACTAATATTTTGGCCATTCTTTCTAAAAATTATACTACCTACGTCCTGGTGGACTTTGTCAAATGCAAAGTAGGTGAGAAATAAGAATAGTAAAAACTGTGTGGTTGAGATTTGTGCAGAGGAGGGAGAAATGTGCAGAATCACAAATTAGATGCTTTAATAAGAAAGTGATAAAGTTTTTTGGGACAACAAAAAAAGGAAAGTTGGCAAAGTCCAATGAGACGGAGAGAGTATTATTTACCATTTTACTTATTTTGATTATTATATAATGTATATAGTTGGTATATTAAAAAAAAAGAAGTAATTCATCCATATTTAAAAGTTTGCTACAATTTCCTATTTGAGATATATTTAAAAGTTGCTATACTTTTCCTTTATGATAAGTTTTTTTCCTTTCAAAATACTCAATAATTTTTACTTATTTAACTTTTATTTTCTCTTTCATACTCCCCCCGTCCCTTAAAACTTTGTCATCTTTTTTTTTGGGACGTCCTAAAAAACTTTACCACTTTCTCCTCTAATCAATATTTAATGATTTCTGTTATTTCTCTCTCCTCTGCACAAATCTCAACCACACAATTTTTACTTTATTATTCTCCGTGTCGATCAACTTTGACAAAGTTTTAAGGGACGAGGGTAGTATTTTTTTTTTACATTATTCATTACCTTTATTATTTGCTTCTTAGGGGGTGCTTGGATCTGATTCTTAAAATTGTTTCTGCTCCTTCATGGAGCAGAAACAGAAGTTGGAGTATTTGGGTGAAAGTCCAGAAGTGATTATGTTGCTCTAATTTATTCCTAGAATTAGTTTTTTTAAAAGCTGAGGGGACCAGCTTCTGAAAACTGATTCTGATTCTGTTTCTTCTTTTAAAAAGAAGCATAAACAGAATGAGATCCAACACCCCTTAAATATTGTGTCAAGAATCAAAATTTGTGAATGGAAAAACTCATTAGAAAGGGAATGGGAGCAATGACGAACAAAGTGTGATAAAATTCCAATGGCCATCTCTGTGAAAACTGAAAAGAGGTGGTGGTTACTGGCGTATTAAAGAAGTGTCCGCATCAAATTACTAAGGCGCCCTTTCGGTTGGTAATATGACGCGGGATACGAGAGCTAAAGCCGGAGGTCACAATCGTCATATAAAAACAACCGCCTTACTAACAAACAGGTCCCTGAAATAATAAATTCAATTTCTCTGTTACTGCAAACTGCTTTGCAGTTAGGAAGGTTGGGACTATATATACACACATACGGAAGATGTGAGTCTGTTTTTAGAGAGAGAAGCTCAACAAACCGAAAAGCTAGAGAGAGAGAACATGGAAGCAGAAACGGAGGGTAACGATTTGAAACCGCCGACTGTCTCCGCCTCCTTGACTGATGTCGACGGCGGCTCCGTCGCGGTTGATGGTGGCTCTGCGATGGTGCTCGACGGCGGGGGAGATGAGAACAACGGAGGCGGTGGGAAAGTAAAGGGACCCTGGTCGCCAGAGGAAGACGCGGTATTGTGCGAACTAGTGAGTAAGTTCGGGGCGAGGAATTGGACGTTGATCGCCCGAGGAATCCCTGGGCGTTCTGGCAAGTCGTGCCGCCTTCGGTGGTGTAATCAGCTTGACCCTGCTGTCAAACGCAAACCATTCTCCGGTAAAACCTGCACCATTTCCGATTCAATCCCACCCCTTGACCATTTTCTGATGTTGACTTGGGTCAATTGTTTTCCTTCGGATCTCCATACATTCTCATGTCACCCGTGTCATTATTTTTCGTTTTTTATTGCATCGTTCTTGACAATTACTGCGTAGCTCTTTATTCCTCTGTTGTACTCGGTCATTTCGTATTTATGCCTTTCTGCTTTGGTTGGCTCGGGTTCGGGTACTGAGGTTCAAGTTGACAATGCTTTACTTCGCTCTCTACTATGGTGAATTGCACACATACTTTTGCGCATATGACATTAAATCTAGAAATTAAAACTTCTATTCAAGCTCTTAGCTCTAAAAAAGCCAATAGACTGGCAAGTTTCAGAGTATGTGCATCTGAAGAGCAGCAGTTCAAGTTGTTTCACTGCAATGTAGAATCAGTACATGCCTGCTTTTATGTATAGATAAAATCATTTCTCTAGCTCTTATATGCCATACTGGTCCAGCAGTGAATCCTTCGCTTAAATTTGGAGCTTTTAGACAGTATTTAGAAGTCTTGTTTAGAACATTTTTATTCTAAAAGCATCGCATTATCAGTCAATTTGAACCAGGAATCTTCCTTCGGTAGGGAACCAGGAACCTTGGGATCATAACCTTTTGCCTCTTTTCTCACACTTGTTCTTTTTCTGAACATATCCTTAGAATTAGCATCTCAAATCTATGTGGTGTCCTGTTTAGAGCAATCTCATCACTTCATTAGTGTGAAGTATTAGAAAGCTTGGCACACTGAGAAATTATCAAGTAACTAGAAGGTCCTGCTTTGTTGGTAAATCACCCTAACTTGGAACTTATTGGTCTTGGCCTTGATTCATGCCTGGAGCATGTGAACAACAATTGGTCTATGCAGATTTAGAATTATACCTAAATCAATGACTTATTTTTTGAATTGCTTAGCTGCTTTGGGTACTAGGAAGTAGGAACACAGAAGTGAGATGGGCACATGCTAAAGAAAGATGTTTGCTGGTTTTAATATCTAAGGTAGTAACCTTTCACTACGAAGTGTGAAGTTGTCAATTATCTTTTGAGGTAAAAAGTGTTATGTAAGCTGATGCACTTTGCAGCTGCATTGAGGACTGTGTTTCCCTTAAGACATTGTTTTTTCTTAGTAGTATTTTCTTCCATTCCGCAATCTGAAAGGGGGACTGGTCTTGCATGGGTAGAAATGGTAGAATATTTTTGCTTTTTGTTATTTTCCGAGGCATGTAAGATTATCATGGTTTTCTAAAATCAGTAATGTAAGGATTTTTTTCATCCAAAAAATTGACACGATTTATATATTTAGATAGTGTAGTACTGTGATTTGACTATACCTATATATTATATCATGATTAATTGATTATGGATTCGTTGGGAGCTGAATTTTGTTAATCGTTTCTTGTTTGTTTCCTATTTCTATCCCCCCCCCCCCAAAAAAAGTTATTCAGCTTTTTGAAGCAGTGGTTTGCAAATGGGCATATTTCTGTTATCGTTTCGGCTGGTGATTGCGCTAGCTCTATTATGCAAAATGGCATATGTTGGGGCTGGGTGGTCCAGATCTACATCTATTTGTTTTGAACTTGAAGTGTGAGAGTTCATGCTCGTACTATAGCCTATAGCACAATATAGCCAACTGACATAAGGATTTAAGGTTGCGTGTAGTTAGGCTACATGTTGATTAAAAGTTGTCATCAGGTTGTTCAAAACTCTTAAATTCATAATCATTCCAATACCTAAAATAGCATCCTACTTTTTATTATTGAGACTCTTGAACCTAACACATCTTTTAAGTTTTAACTTTGTAGAGTAAATGAATTCACGGTTTATGTCTTGTAGTGGGGGCTCTAAACACCCTAGTTTTAGTTTCGGTTAGCAAGTATGCTTCATTTGTGGTTGCAAGTATGCTCACTTAAGATAGTAAATGTCTCAGAAAAATTATTAGATTCACAGATATCCAGGCTCTTAGAAACTCACATCATGTCCAATGGACCATGAAGCAGTATGTTTTGTGTGTGCATTTGCTTGAAAACAAGCTTTATTTTGTAAATCTATATGTGGTTTTATAGCATTCCTGATTGTTATATTTCACTCTCGAAGATCATATTTTTGGATTGATAGTCAATTATGGTGACGGGTGTATATAAACTGGTCTTGTGTTTGTATATTGAAACCCAAAAGTATGGTGGGGATGATATGTAATACTTCATACATCACTTTGCAATTCTTTGTGCATCATCAAATATATAAGGGAAAAGTAAAAGGGAAAATGGCACTTTAGTCTAAGATATGTTGTAATGGAAAACATAATTCCCCATTTTAGACGTAGCCATATGTAGTCTCTCTCTTATTCTAATTCGGGAGGTGTCTAAATGCTAGGAAGGGGCCATACCACCTCCTTTCTACCTCAGATCCTGGCTAATTAACCCTTTATACCCTATAATTTCGCTGTACCAAAGAAGTTAGTTGAACGTTGAACAAAGATGTAAGCCAAACTTGTCAAAAGTGACAAAAAGTGCGCTTAAGCGCACCATCATCTGTGTTACTTTTATGAATCCCAGGTTTCTGAGAAAGCGTCGCTTTTCCTTGCTTTTGGTCCAGTCACCATTTATATTTGGCTTCTAGTTTGGCCGACCTCTTGAGGCCACAATTACCATGTACACTTTTAGTTCAGAGAGTTTTGGATTTTATAATGTCTTTGTTTTGTGTCTTTTGTTATGATCATGGATGGAATCTCTTCATCCTACATTAGTTGGAAATTGAAGGGAATGATATAATGTCAGTCCTTCCCAGACTCCACACACATGGCGTCTAGAGTTTCTGTTCTCCCTAGTAGTTAATCAAATGAATGACAAATTTATTGTGAATATGTAGGTTGGAGTTGGCTTCTGTCTCCTTGAATATTTTGTTTTTAAATCTCCTTCCCCTATTACCCTCTCTTTTTGGTTGTATATGATTCCATTACTGCGCTTCTTATGCTTGATTTATCAAAGAATGCATTTATTTTTCAGTCAAAGGCCTTGATGGTGTCTATTCTGAAGTGAAACCGTCTCAGCTAAATATGTTACAACATGACTTGATGCAGATGAAGAAGACCAGATTATAATTTCAGCACATGCAATTCATGGAAACAAATGGGCCTCCATTGCAAAAATGCTCCCTGGCAGAACCGACAACGCAATCAAGAACCACTGGAACTCTACTCTAAGACGTAGGTTTGCAGCAACAGATAGGTCTGCATTACAATGTGAGAATACGTGCGATGACCCGAGTAGTACCGACCGGGTTGGGGCATCCTCTGAAGAAACCAAATCATGTGGTTACATCAACACACATAATAAGCCCTCAGAAGGTGCTTGCGGGGATTGCAGCCCCAAAGAGACTCCACATTCCATCTCCCGCCCTGTCGCTAAAATAGGCGCTTTTAACATCTATAATCCATCTCCTGCCCCACGAGGCCTGCTCACCCACCCATTCTTTTCGGACCCACACTTTGTCACTAACTCATCTTGCGAGCTTGTGATTCCTTCACACTGTGGTCACGGTTGCTGTGGGCCCCCAAGGGGTAGTTCTTCTCAAGGATCATTGCTTGGGCCTGAGTTCGTTGAGTTTGAGGAACTCCCGCCTGTTTCTAGTCAAGAGCTGGCAGCTATAACCAAAGATTTGAACAACGTGGCGTGGATCAGAAGTAGCCTTGACAATCGTCCTACTGAAAGGGCCAACGTTATGCAGCATTCAATGCAAAATGAGCCGCTTTGCCCTGGAGGAGGAGGAGGAGGAAGAAGAAACGAACTAACAGTTTCAATCCCTCAAAATGCCTATGCTACGCTTCAATTTGCAACCTGAAGTTGACTTCTCAAGTAACATATGTGTGGCTTTTCTTATGTTAGAAGCCTCTTTCCTGGAAGAGGATTGGGGCGGAATTTTGTAATGTGTATCTATTTTTAACTTCGTCCGGTTACTTCAAATGTTCAATATTCACCCAGGAGAACATTTTCACCTGTACTTAGCCGGAGCTCGTTTTGTGGGATATAGTGGTCGGAATGAGAATCATGAGAATCCTTATTGCAATGTTTGTTCCAGATTAACATTTGACAAGTTTGATAGACACGTTAAAGCAATGAAGTAAAAAACAGCGCAGTTAAAGTTTTTGCAGAGAAGAAGTTAATTAATGACTATAAAAGCAACTGAAAAAGTTAAAACTCAAATATATAAAGGAATGGAAGGGAACAGATCTTGAAACCGGGAATGCTTCATATGCCAGGTAAAAGAAAGTGCCACTTGGTTGGGTACGTAGAATGTTTTTGGCCTAATGGGCTCAATATTATACGTAGTAGCACTTTTTAAACATTATCTAGAAGGTAATAATGTATGACTATTTAAATATGACTAACTTATTTTTGTACACTTTTGACACACTTGCTTGTATTGGGTATAGATATTTTGTTGGTGGTCCTGTGAGCTGTGTGTCTATGTTGACATGTACATTATGCTTAAATGTTGGTAAATTTTGCAATTTGTCTGCCTTATATCTCCCGTAGAGTATGATGACTCCGCTACCTCCGTTATTACTCCTTCCGTTTGTAATTCCCACCGGCCCATATTTAGCCGCACAAGTAGGGCCCAACTTTAGCCGCACACGCAGGGCCCTTCTCTTGCTCCATCTCGACTCGCGCTCTTCGGTCGCGCAGCCTTACCTCAGAGTCGCTAATCCCTTCGTCTTCCTTGCAGGTGAGTATTCATCTCGCATTTATGAAATGATTAACTTCCGCTTGTAACTGCAAATCGATCCTTCTCCTCTCTAGTGCGAGTTATGGAATTCCAATTGGCGCGGCCAACCTCGATCCTTCTCTCCCATGGCCCTATAAATGCATCTTATTCAATTGGCAGACGATTTTCGCCACCTGCACACACTTTTCCGGTATGTCTTCTATCCATGTTGAATTTGTACTGCCTTTCTTTCTGCCTGTACTTTGAAGTCCTTAATTAGTACTCCACTGCTTATCTAGGGAATGATTGCTTTGCAAGTTATCTGGTGAAATTGATCTGAAAATTTGCATCCCTGCTGGCTATACTTCAGAATTAATGGTGCTTTCATCATTTTTTTGTTTCTTCGATCTTTTCTTTTTGATGGAATTGTTACTTGGTGTGGACATATAGCTTAGGGATTCACTAAGGCCTCGTCTATTTCTGACTTTAATTCATTTATTCTCCTGAAAAAACAAACAGAAAAACTTTGATATGCAAGGAAAAGCTTCATCTAAGTTCAGTTTGGATGTAGGGTTTTGGAGGGCAGAGTCAATCCTTCATTTGCAAATGAGATTTTTCAAAAATTGAAGGAATAACTTAATAACTGATCAGATAACATTTCAATTACCATTTTATTTGTTTTTGTAAACAATGTAGTGAGAAAGTATTTTGGTCCCACTCTTTTTAGGTCATGTCACTTTTGATCCTTAAATTAGACTTTCTTTCTTTTCACTTTTGGCACACAACTATTAATTCTTGCAACTTCTGATCACTCATTTGGCCATTTTGTGTACAGCTCCGGTTGATTATTTGCAGGATAAGTGATAGGTAGGGTCACAAGTGTCTAGAAAGCGAGAAGTCCACAGTCACACATTAAGAAGTCCCTTTTCATGCATTTTATGTCCCAAACAACATCTTACTATGATGGAGTAATTTGAAATTTTCAAATATACCAAAAATTTGAACATTCCAAAATGTGATCAGAATATCAGGTTGACCAGAAGCTCCCCTGTATTATTCACTAAATTTGGTTTTGAGAGATGTTGGATAGACGAAATTCATAAACTTTTTTCTAACTGTTATTTTTCAATCCTTATCAACTGTGAGCTTTCTAGATTTGTTAAATCATTTGTGTCCTGCATTTGTGGTATTGGGTGTATTCCTCCAAAATAGCCTTAAACTCATATAGAATACACCCTTGAAGAAATAAAGCGCGAGTTTAAAATACGGTAGTAGCATATTCTCTATTTCTCTTATTTTAAAATGAAGGCTCTTTTAATATGTGCTCTTATAAATATGTTCTTTTAAGGCTTGTAGTAAACTGTTATATAAAGCTAAAGCCAATCTAAGGATCACTCAAAGAGGCATAGCAAGTTGTTCTACTTCTAAATATGTTCTTGTAAGGCTTGTTGAGTTAGTGTTTTTAAAGGTAGAAGTGTATCTTAAAAACTTAAAATTAGGCTTTATTTTAAATCAAGATCAAATGCAGCTCATAATGTTTTTTTTTTTTGCTTTAAAATCTCCCTAAGATGCAGTACAATAGAAGCAATACTAAGATTGAAACTATCAAAAACATCAGTACAACAAGGTGATACTTAATTTAGTTATTTTCTCAATTTTCCTTTATTCTTAGATAGCAGATGCAATTGGTTTAGTTAGGTGGTGCTGCAAAGTCCCCATGATAATAAGTACAGAAAAGTCATGTAAACTCAGTTAAATAAGAATACACTCAACTATCATATTTTCTATAAACTCAGTATGATTGCCTATATTTTATGAAGAGTTTCTCGATGTTTAGTCCTTTTCTAATGAACAATATAATGGACCTATAGTGTGAAGAGTATCTTGAGATTTAGTCTCGTTCTAAACAGATGCACATATACTTCTCATGGTAATTTTATTTGCGTTATGATATCAACAAAGGCGGGGATGCTCGTTTTAAACTTCTGTCAGTCCATTAAGAGTGCTTTACTACAGGTTCTATCTTTTCACATATGTATTTAATAACAAACAAAAGATAGTAAACGGTTTCAAAAAGGGTCTTCAACAATCTTGGTTATAACTCTGGCAAGATGTTTTTGCACCTGAAGACAGTGTTATATAGGGCTGGCATTTTGAACCGGAAAACCGAAAACCGACCCGAAAAAAATCGAACCGCCAAAAGTTGGGACCCGAAAATTGGGAACTGAAAAAATTGGGATCCAAAAATTGGGACCCGAAGTCTAGATCGGTTCGGTACCGGTTTTTGGTATGCTAAAGTTCGGTTGAACCGAACCGAACCGATATTATATATTATTTATAAAAATCATTATTTTTATTTTATAAATTTTGAAAAGCTCACGTCTTCTATTTCAAATACATTTGGCCCAAATGCCTGACTCCATTAGGCTACGAAAATAATTGAAATCGGGTCATCATCATTCTGTCATTCCTCTTCACAAGCTATGGATTATACCATCTATGCCGCCTAAAGAGTTGAAAAAAGTGTTGAACGGCTGAAGAGTTGAAATTGTGTGTGAATTTTTTATTGAGCAAGTGATTCAGTACTTGGTTAGAGTCTTCTCTACATATTCTTTATTATCTTTGCTTAAAAAAATGCAGTTTAGCAGCAAAAATATGTTTACAAGGCTTAGTTTGCATATTAAAGGATTTTACATCAGTTCAGCGGGTCCCAGTTAAACCGAACCGATTTTTTGGTTCCCGAAAAACCGGTTCCCGATTCTACATCGGTTCGGTTCCGGTTTACATTTTTCCTAAAACCGAAAAAAACGGTTCGGTTTTACAAACCGACAAATCGGTTCGGGTCCCAAACCGAACCCAGCCCTAGTGTTATACAGAGTAGTTCTCAAAACATTTCCATATGTCTCTCAAAATCAGTGTCTCTTTACAATCCCATGTTGATGTGTTATGTGTCAATCAACAAGTACTTGAAGATTTTGGCTACATTTATTTAAAACTAAATAAGTTATACACTTCATCTTTATGTTTTATAACATAAAACATGCTTAGTCTAGAAGCCTTTTATTTAAACTTTTGCATCATAAGAGTCTGTATTGAACAATTATGTTCCATGTGATTAAGTGTTCTGGAAACCCATCTTAACATTTAAATTTTTTATACAATCTCAAATTTTATAACCCAGAACGCTTCATCAATTATTGTCATCAAGATGCCAATAGCAATAACTATTATTATCAAATTAATCATTCTTTCAATTATTAACTTTTTAAAAACCGTTTTCTAGCTGAATGGACCTTATAGGATGATAACCATCTTATAGCAATACAATCATCTGTTTGATTTTAGATACTTTTGGAAATATACCATTTTAGTAAATAGTAGGTATGGATTTCTATTCCAGAATATTTTAATTGGAACACATTTTCTAATATTCAATTTTTTGGTATATTTGAAAATTTAATTTTAGTTCATCACAGTAAGATATTGTGTAGGACATAAAATGCATGAAAAGTGTTCTATAACCGCATGCAGCTCCTCTCTAGAGACGGAAACATATTTCACAGGCTCCCCATCAACCATCTCTAGGAAGGATTATAAATTATGTAGCAAAGCATTGATGCACTTTAGAATGAAATAACAGTTTGGCAAACATATGATGGTCTACACCTATTAAATTGATAATCATTGTTTATAGAAAGTAATAGACTTGAAACTAAAACCAAATAAAAGCATCAAGTTTTAGAAATAGAAAAATAGTTAAAAACTTTTTGACTAAAGAGATACCAGTGCAATTGTTGGTTTATAGGAGTTATTCTATATGTTCTTTTTCCTTTGTAAAGTTTTAAATGAACATTCTGGTATCATTCTACTTACTATATATGAGGTAACCTCTCAGCAGAAAAGAACAAAAGCTAACTTCAACAATCTTTTGAAATAAGCTGAAATGTGGGATGTTTATAAGTATCATTTGTGTTTTCTATAAACCTTTAAGGAACACTATTTATATTATCAGTTATTTTGTGTTAAACAGTCAATTTACAACAAAAAGACTTGAGTAGGCTGCCTGTGCAGTGTATCACAGTATACTAACATCACTAATGCTTAAAAACTCCTCCTATAATTCAATAATTTGGTAAATCATAGGCAAAGAAAGAGGCTGATCCCATACTAGATCATATCATTTCCTTCTTGCTAATTTAAGTAAATCGTACTATGTTATACTTTTAAGTTATAGTCTCCCTCATATTTGACACTTTTCACAGTCAAGGTTTTATTATTGCGTGGAATCTTGAACAAAGGTAACCGGTACTTTTAATTTAATAATATCACTAAGAGAGGAACAAACCAATTGCCATATGTGGACTTTTTTATATAGAAAAAAGTACTTTTTATATATCTGTC